TCCCATATATAACATAATGTTATATGGTAAAATATGTGTACAATGTAACCAGATTGAAACGCCAAGAAACCAAGAATCGGCCCGCACAGAACTAAATTGTGCAAACGGTAAATGTCCACGATGTCAATCAGCTATGTTTGAAAAACTCTTTCTGCGTCATTTAACCCTATAATAGTTCAAAAGCAAAACACTGCTACCTTGAGTGAATGAATTGCGTTTCATGTCGCAGTAAAAAACCATTATTTGTGGTGGCTACCCGGTTACATAATTGCATAACAAAATACGGATGTCGACCTATTAGATCTGGAAAACATTGACACGTCATCACTAGGGCGGTCATTTTCAGTATTTGCCTCCGAGACAAGACTCGAAAGAGTGTTCCACATCCAGAAAGAACGTGTCCTTATCACAAGGGGATTTGGTACAGAACACTAACTGAATCCTCATCATTGGTTGCATTTAGATGGGATTCTGGTTGTGTATGTGGCGCCAAAGACTTCTCGTCTTGCGAACTTGTTTGTGTGTCTGTCTGTCTGTCTGTCTGTCTGTCTGTCTGCGTGCAAGTTACTGGTTGGACTGAATAAACACATCCGTGTTTAGTGAAGCTGTTTGCGTGTGTGCCATTGTGTAAGTTACTGGTTGTGATGAATCTACACCTGCATGTTTAGCGAACTTGTTAGCGTGTGTGTCATTGTGTAAGTTACTGGTTGTGATGAATCTACACCTGCATGTTTAGCGAACTTGTTTGCGTGTGTGTCATTGTGTAAGTTACTGGTTGTGATGAATCTACACCTGCATGTTTAGCGAACTTGTTTGCGTGTGTGTCATTGTGAAAGTTACTGGTTGTGATGAATCTACACCTGCATGTTTAGGGGACTTGTTTGCGTGAGTGTCATTGTGTAAGTTACTGGTTGTGGTGAATCTCTGCATGTTTAGCAGACTTGTTTGCGTGTGTGTCATTGTTTAAGTTACTGGTTGTGATGAATCTACACCTGCATGCTTAGCCGACTTGTTTGCGTGTGTGTCATTGTGTAAGTTACTGGTTGTGATGAATCTACACCTGCTTGTTTAGCGAACTTGTTTGCGTGTGTGTCATTGTGTAAGTTACTGGTTGTGATGAATGTACACCTGCATGTTTAGCAGACTTGTTTGCGTGTGTGCCATTGTGTAAGTTACTGGTTGTGATGAATCTACACCTGCATGTTTAGCGGACTTGTTAGCGTGTGTGCCATTGTGTAAGTTACTGGTTGTGATGAATCTACACTTGCATGTTTAGCAAACTTGTTTGCGTGTGTGCCATTGTGTAAATTACTGATTGTGATGAATCTACACCTGCATGTTTAGCGAACTTGTTAGCGTGTGTGCCATTGTGTAAGTAACTGGTTGTGATGAATCTACACCTGCATGTTTAGCGAACTTGTTAGCGTGTGTGCCATTGTGTAAGTTACTGGTTTTGATGAATCTACACCTGCATTTTTGGGAACTTGTTCGCGTGTGTATCATTGTGTAAGTTACTGGTTGTGATGAATCTACACCTGCATTTTTAGCGGACTTGTTTGCGTGTGTGTCATTGTGTAAGTTACTGGTTGTGGTGAATCTCTGCATGTTTAGCCGACTTGTTTGCGTGTGTGTCATTGTTTAAGTTACTGGTTGTGATGAATCTACACCTGCATGTTTAGCCGACTTGTTTGCGTGTGTGTCATTGTGTAAGTTACTGGTTGTGATGAATCTACACCTGCTTGTTTAGCGAACTTGTTTGCGTGAGTGTCATTGTGTAAGTTACTGGTTGTGATGAATGTACACCTGCATGTTTAGCAGACTTGTTTGCGTGTGTGCCATTGTGTAAGTTACTGGTTGTGATGAATCTACACCTGCATGTTTAGCGGACTTGTTAGCGTGTGTGCCATTGTGTAAGTTACTGGTTGTGATGAATCTACACTTGCATGTTTAGCAAACTTGTTTGCGTGTGTGCCATTGTGTAAATTACTGATTGTGATGAATCTACACCTGCATGTTTAGCGAACTTGTTAGCGTGTGTGCCATTGTGTAAGTTACTGGTTGTGATGAATCTACACCTGCATGTTTAGCGAACTTGTTTGCGTGTGTGTCATTGTGTAAGTAACTGGTTGTGATGAATCTACACCTGCATGTTTAGCGAACTTGTTAGCGTGTGTGCCATTGTGTAAGTTACTGGTTTTGATGAATCTACACCTGCATTTTTGGGAACTTGTTAGCGTGTGTATCATTGTGTAAGTTACTGGTTGTGATGAATCTACACCTGCATGTTTAGCGGACTTGTTTGCGTGTGTGTCATTGTGTAAGTTACTGGTTGTGATGAATCTACACCTGCATGTTTAGCGAACTTGTTTGCGTGTGTGTCGTTGTGTAAGTTACTGGTTGTGATGAATGTACACCTGCATGTTAAGCGAACTTGTTTGCGTGTGTGTCATTGTTTAAGTTACTGGTTGTGATGAATCTACACCTGCATGTTTAGCCGACTTGTTTGCGCGTGTGTCATTGTGTAAGTTACTGGTTGTGATGATTCTACACCTGCATGTTCAGCGAACTTGTTTGCGTGTGTGTCATTGTGTAAGTTACTGGTTGTGATGAATCTACACCTGCATGTTTAGCGAACTTGTTTGCGTGTGTGTCATTGTGAAAGTTACTGGTTGGGATGAATCTACACTTGCATGTTCAGCGGCCTGGTTAAGGTAAGGTTGATAGGTCTGTTGAATTCTTCAAAGTTTCAGTCTGTACTGAAATTTGATTTGATGGAATGTATGTGAGGATGCTCTGTTTTGTTGAAACCTGTGTTGTACGTGGGATTCCTGTCTCCACGACGAACTGCTTGGTGAAAAAGTAACACCGCTGCAATTTGACATCAGACGTGAACCATTTATAAGCTTTTGGCTGGGAAACATCGTCAATGAAAAACTTTAACTGGTGTTGGGGTTGACGACTACATGAGTTTGCCACATGTGCCAAGAGAAGTGAATGTTTACAAAATGTTGCATCAGCAATGAGCATATCTTAATCCATACTCCATTGATACATGTCGCACAACAGGAGATCCCATGATAGATAAACATACGTCCTTGACACGACCTACTGATAACACTCATGATCTTCGTCATTGTACACACCGGCTTTCCGTGCAGTAAACTATATGTGGGATGATGTACAGACTACTTGCTTTTCAGGAATGAATATATCTATAAACTGTTATTCTGAATAATCTCATAATTCAATCGGATTACTGAGAAAAACAGAAGTTTAATGTATTTGTTTACCCAAGGCCTAGTAATTTCAAACTGTTTCTTATTTTGTCACATTCCCATTTTGATAGGCATACTTTACTATTACCGTTTGCATTTTCTACACATATTGGCGAAATTTTCCAATGGAATGAACTTCGAGCATCCGCTTTCATGAGATATTCAATATTTACGGAAAGAGTGAGTGAGGTGGACACCAGAAATGTGCTTCACTCGTGGAACCCATGTTAGGAATAGAACCCGGGCCCTTGGATGACGAGTGAACGCTTTAACCACTATACTACCCTACAGTAGGAATGTTCATATCATACAAATTGCGCACCATTCAAGAGTGGTTTAGCTGGGTTGAAACAGTAAGAATATTATAGCTTTTATCCTAATCTGTCAGTTTCATGTGGCTTTACAGACCAAATTGATCCAGGTTTCTAACGTTTATCACTTTGGTGAATCTCATGCACCCGGATTCAATTGAGTTAGTGAGTGAGTTAAGATTTAGAGTGACATCGGCAATATTGCAGCCATATCGTGACTATGATAATATAGACTTTTATAATAAATACAGTTATTTCGTAAAATCTGTCAACAAAGGACAGTAAAACAAATAGGTTATCACAGATAGAAATATAAAACTAGCATGTAAGCATTAAAAAGTTTATTACAATACAGGACAATACAATATAAAAACAGGGCTATAGTTCACCAAAAACTGAAGGTAAGATCACCATACTAGAAAGGGACCATGGGAACACACAGTACCTTTGCAACCTGCATGGACCCTAACTGGATTTACATAATTCCTATAGATGTTGGTGATTTTTGCACAATTTAACCATACGCTAAAAGAACACATATACTACGATTAAAATCACGGACAATGAAAAATACTGTGAATCGAATAGGAATGACATACCCTCTCCGGGGGACAATAATTTAACGATACTTCAACCCCCTTTGAAGGTATAGCCACTAACAATCAAAGTTATTTATTCATTTTCACAAATCAAAATTCATATGCTAATAACAATACATATCACAATTTATCAATGAATTCAAATTCTTATGATTAAATGAACACTTACATTATTCAAAAGATCCTTCAACGTTTTTATATTGAAATACTTGTACCTTGTAATGGAATAATCAATACAGTCAAGCAGGACATGCTTGACCGTGATTCGTTCATCACAAGGAATGCAAAATGGAGGATCCTCCCCTTTTACCTCCTCACCATCGTCTTAAAATGACCTCTTCAAATCTGGACTGACAGCCCAAGTAGGTGTAACAAATATAGGGTTTTATTTCATGCAATTTATTTATACCTACTAGGGTGTCCCACTTCTTTTGCATTAGATCCTGGAAATAAGATTTAATTACAGATTAATAATCACTGTAGGGTATTAGAAGTGGTGTCACAGATTTGTTGAGAGCTGCCTTAGCAGCCCGGATTCAAACCTTCAATCGAATAGCAGCAGTTTAAACGACTAGGTCACCCATGTCACCATGTACCATAGGTGGGCAGAGAGTCTCTCAGATTTATTATGGTTGTCCTTTCCGTATATCAAAATATTATAAAAAATGTCAACAGTACTCATTATCCGACGAAAGGTGTTCCATTGGGCGAAAAAGGCAAAACAACGGTGAACATATTTGAATGAAATGGTTTTAATCAGTTCATGTACTTAATCTGGCAAACGTCCGGCCTTGGCCCTGTTTGATAACATCGAGCAGACGACACAGCAGACGACGAAGCAGGCTGCAATAACCATGAACACTGGTGGTGTTTTCGTCGCGTGTGTGTGTTTTTGTGGGTTATTTGCGACAGCACATACAGCAACAATCTATCCCATTGATGACAGTGACGGGTTTGGACGGAAATTTGATGGAATCGGCGGCATTAGCGGTGGAGGGGTAAGATGTTCAAGACGCGGGTGTGTGGTGTGGGTGACATTAGCTACCATCAGGTGGGTGGGGCTGGAAGGCACATTGAGCAAGCGGGTGTCTAACATTCTTGATTTCCGTGAATCGTATTCTAGTTTCCGTGTGTAACTATTTTAATTTACTGTATGTGACTTCATCTACGAAGTGTTGTATCGTGTCGTTGAATATTTTACGTAGATACAGCCTAACCACTTCTTCCGTTGCATGGATCAAATACCACTTCCTACACCATATGTAAATTACCGCCATCACATTCTGATTATACCACTGCAAACAACCAAACTAAGTGATGATGTTTTATGCTTTCATTTAATTGTATACGAGCCAAAACGTAAAGTCTGCCAAAGTTAGACATCGCACTATGCTACTTACAATTTAGGAATAATACCTAAGTAACTGAATCTTTGATAGCTCTAAAGCTCCATTTCACTGTTTACAAGAACACCTGTGCTATATGTACATGAATTTATACCTTGAAATGATTCTTTCAAGAATACTCCGATAACACAAGTCAGATGTGTTGCCTCATGTATAGAGCCTTATCAGTCGTTGAAAATATCGAATGATGCCAAAGGTAGGATATGAAATTTGCTCGAATGGTATTGTAACTCACCCAAGTGACATCATAGACGCTTTGATTCACGCCTTCGCAGGCCACATCCAAGCTGCTGGTGAACTACCCACAACCTTACAGGGATCAAGTCTTGGACTTTCTTTTCAAGGTGATAAAATGTTTCAGCAGTTTTGCAGTTATTATGATTAATGTTATCCGCTCATTATTTGAAATACATACAAAATTTATATTTCCGATTCTTTCCATTCTGATATATCAACAATATTGTAGTAATAATTACTAAGACATGAATTTTCTGTTTGATATTCTTTTGTTCTTGACCAAAATTTCAGGATATCTATCTATTTATAAGAAAGAAAACTAGGGAGGTTTTGTATAGTTTATGAGACAGGACCATGCGTCGTTCAAAGGTGTTGCCACTCAAAGGGTAATCATGATAAGCAATATTAGCAATGGCCAGTTTGTTGTTTGATAAGTTACTCAGTTAGAAATTGGTTAGTTAAGTGAAGCCATCTTTACAGCCAAACTTTGGAGCATCGCTGCAGATACTGAAAGTTGAGATCGGAGGCGATGCTTGCAGTACGGGTAGGTACCTTCACATTAGTGATCCGTCTAAATGTAAAGTATCACTTCAGTACATATCGTGCCAATCACGTGGCTATATTGTTGTACACCATGAAGCGTGGCCTTCTGTACGAATCTGTTCATTTGCAACTAACAATGTCAATAACAATACATCAACAGATGGATCCGAGGCGTCCCACATGCACAACAGCTGGGAGGAGAACTACCAAAGAGGATATGAGTGGTGGCTCATGTTGGAGGCTAAGAAGGTCCTCTTCTTCTCGTACAAATAGTAACTGAAAATATTAAGCTCAAAACCCTTCATACCAGCTGTTCATTTGACCGAAACCGATATCGCCATTGACTTCTCTGTCGTTCATTGTCCTTCAGAAATACATACATTCCAGTAAAACAATAATGGAAAGGTACGAACAATTAGCCAGATGTCGCCGTGTGTCATGACCACAAGTCTGGCGTTCATGTCTCTTACTATAATCTCCAATAAGTATAGAAGGTAGTCAGGCCTGTGTGCAAAGATGATATCCAATTACGTTGTTGTTTTCAGAGAAATCCCGACATAAAGTTGTACGGTCTGCCTTGGGCGTATCCTGGATGGGTAGGGGGACCTACCCGAGACAACCCCTGGACCGACCCAGAGAGACCTGTTAACTATGTGCTCAACTGGATTATGGGTGCCAAAACAGTCTATAATCTCACCATAGACTATGTTGGGGTTCGTTATTTATTATGTTAAGGATAATCACAATCCTTTTGAATTTTTTAATTGTAAGTTTGCTTGTTTTGATTTCTCTTTTATGTATCAGTTTAACGGAAATCAGTTTCAATATTCATCATATGACATTTGTATTTGATTGACAAATCCCTTAATAGAAGCAATAGGCAGTGATAAATCTTTTGATGAAAGCAATGCACAGTGACAAATTCTTAAATGGAAGCAATAACCAATGACAAATCCCTTAAATGGAAGCAATACGCAGTGACAAATCCTTAAATGGAAGCAATGCGCAGTGACAAATCCTTAAATGGAAGCAATACGCAGTGCCAAATCCTTTAATGGAAGCAATACGCAGTGCCAAATCCTTAAATGGAAGCAATACGCAGTGCCAAATCCCTTAAATGGAAGCAATACGCAGTGCCAAATCCTTTAATGGAAGCAATACGCAGTGACAAATCCTTTAATGGAAGAAATACGCAGTGCCAAATCCTTAAATGGAAGCAATACGCAGTGCCAAATCCTTTAATGGAAGCAATACGCAGTGCCAAATCCTTTAATGGAAGCTATACGCAGTGCCAAATCCTTTAATGGAAGCAATACGCAGTGCCAAATCCTTTAATGGAAGCAATACGCAGTGCCAAATATATGTTTGCGAGTGAAGATATATTTCATCCTTTCTCTGTTATAGATATGGAATGAACGGATGTACAGTATCCCCTACATCAAGGTGAGCACGTGACTGATTTAAAAAAACTTGACCAAACTGAGTATTTGTTCTTATTGGATCAAACTATAAAGATATGTTCTCATTTCTGTATATCCAGCTACTACGGAGGATCCTTGACAACACCGGCTTCAGCAACGTGAAGATCGTCGGTGCTGACAAGAAGTGGGAGATTGCTGATGATATCCTTCAGGATGAGGAACTCGGGGCTGCCGTCGAAAATATCGGGTACTGGTAAACTTGTGACAATCATATCATGCACAATATGACCAAAGACAGTTCTCATCGCAGTTTCATAACTTCTGTGTTATGTTCTGTTATATTTTTCTCTGATCACATGCAGACATATTATCCCGTGATATGGTGCTTTATCAACACTGACAACCTTGACACAGATGTCTTTGGTTGGCATCAGTGTTATTAAGAACTTTAAATGGATAATAAGTCCTGTGTTTTTCCGTACAAACAACGTGGCCCCATGTTTTCTGTTATAATATTCCAATAGTTCTTCTGATTCCCGCCAGGTGTCACTACCCTGGCACGTTCTCTGATTCATCCGCCATGAAGACCGGCAAGAAACTGTGGGCCTCAGAAGACTACGGCACCTTCAACGACAACGTCGGGGGTGGATGCTGGGGAAGGGTAGGTACTGAGATGTGGAAGGGTCGTGTTGAAATTTCTTCTTTTAGTGGCATGTTTAGAAGTTGGAGAATCAGATAAGGACAAAACTTTATGGATGAACAACTTCTTTATTCTTTATTATCTCGTGTTAAAATTGCAAATGTGCTGCCTTGGTACTACACACCATTCCCCGATTGGCTGTCTCTCTCTCTCTCTTCTCCTATCTCTCTCTCTCTCTGCGATTGTTTCCGAAAAGTAATTTGAAAACAACTGAATTTAGAAGACCAATGTCATTATATTCTGCTGCTAAATCACAATCATTACCAAACCTTACTTTCCACCTCACATTTAAATCAAAGTATAACGGATACTGAATTTTCCAGATTCTCAACATGAACTATGTCAATGGAAACATGACAGCGTAAGTTATTCATAATTGACAGAGATTTAAAATCCGTTATAACACATACTAATGCTTCTTACTGTAAACGTTTCTAAATATGCCGTAATGGACGTGTAATTCAGTATAAAAAGCTGTAATAATGGTGAACGAGGAAATGTTTACATAAAAAACCCATTTCCTCAAAGGACACTTCAAGCGCATGTCGACGTTTCACAATCAATGCATGTTTCAGAACAATATCGTGGACCGCTATTGCCAGCTTCTACAACCCCCTGCCTTGGTTCAGAGCAGGATTAATGACGGCAATAGAACCTTGGTCCGGGAACTACGTCGTCCAGAGCCCAATCTGGATAGCTGGTATGTGTTATAGTAAAAAGAAATATTTACAGTGAGTGAGTTTAGTTTTACGCCGCACTCAGCAATATGCCAGCTATATGGCGGCGGTTTGTAAATAATCGACTCTGGACCAGACAATCCAGTGATCAACAGGAAGAGCATCGATCTACGCAATTGGGAACCGATGACATGTGTCAACCGAGCCAGCGAGCCTGACCACCAGATCCCGTTAGTCGACTGTTATGACAAGCATGGGTTACTGAAGGTTCATTCTAACCCGGACCTTCACGAGTTATTTTCAGTGACCTCGGTTGTTTTATCATGTCACTAAATGTACTCCTACTATTTGGTTGTACCGTCACATGTGTCATTAGTTAGTACCCACTGGACCTAATAACGGACTACACTGCCATGTAAGGTATTAACATTCCAAGCCATTCAATAAAACAGGACAAAAATGTCACTGAGTGCCCCAATGAGCATATGTCATAGACACGTTTAAAGAATGTTAATTTCAAAATATGTTTTCCTATGGACTATTAGATTATTCCGTGATGCGAAAGGTCCGGGTTCGATCCCTTAATGGGTACAAATGTGAGGCTGATTAATGGTGTCCCTCAGCCAGCAACAACTCAACTCTTTCACTCATTATTTGCCTTTCTATCCAGCCCACACGACGCAGTTCACGGAGATAGGATGGAGCTATCTCCGTCACGGCGCCGGAGTTGGAAATTTCACCGGAGGAGGGAGTTACGTTGCTCTAGTCAGCCCTAATGGCAAGAACCTCACTATTATCATCGAAACCCTGGTAAGAGACTCTGTTATATTACAATATTAACTATATTTGAGCACTGTATGTATCTTGATGTTTCTTGTATTAATTTGTTTCAAACGATCTTTTGTCAACAACATTACCGTCATGTCACCATTCTAGTGCAACAATATTGTATTTAAAAAAGTTTCACTTTGATGTAATATGTTTGTGTCAGTCAATAAAATCAAAGCTTTGGTGATCACAAACGAAGCCTGTAATAGTCGACAAAGTCGAAAAATGGCTGCCATTGTTAGGTGAAGTTGTGTCCCTTCAAAATCTATTCATTATCTGTTTTGATACAATCTTACCTTGCCAGTTGGGTTCACGTATTCGATCGCTGTCAAATACTGGTCTGTCTGACCAGATTACCGACCACAATGACAAAGCCATAACTCACCGTTTGTTCTTCTATGTCCTCCTAGAGCCACGACCATTCCATCTGTGTCCGGCCTCCACTGGAGCCGTACAACGTCACGAAGCAGAGAGTGACCTTCCAACTGAAGGGCAGCTTTGTAAGTGGTTGTTACATTCGCGATTCAAAGAAACGGATTTATCGATTAAATTGATTGAAATATGGACGAACATTAATTCAAAGAACACAAGCACAGGATAGATATATTGTATAAAGTAATTATCAAAATGTAAAAATATTCCAATGCTAAATATTTGTGTTTTACATTACCTCGACGATTCCACAGTGAATTACTGCTCATCCGACAGTCAGCAACAAGGTGATAGTAAATTGTACGATGTATTTCTTACAGTTTTCCATAACATCTCTGAGGGTGTGGTACAGTAGATTGTTCAATGGCGCGATCAATGATACAGGCACGATGTTCGAGAGTCAGCAGTCACTAGAGGTGCGAACTATATTTGTGTGACTATAAACTCAATTTCGATCTGAGCTATCATGGATGTCTTTGAAGCAGTTAGCACTTCCTAAGATTCAGAACACTGCTTTGATTGATGGCAGAATGCAAAGTTTGTTCTTCAGTCCGAAGCCTTTTGAGCCAGTAATTAGACAAAATGACCTGTCTTCTCACTCACGTGAGACCATTTTTCACTTCAAAGTGGACGTATTACTAATGGATTTTATTATTTCATACTAAACGTAAGAAAGTAAGAATAGAGTTGTGAATATATATGCTTTATATGTTATTGTAATGTAATGTGAGAAGAATTTCTTGTCAACGCAATGTCTTTCTCAGTGGTTTCACTTGTGTTGTTTAGGTAGTGAATGGGATGGTGCAGCTGGACGTGGCAGTGGATGAGGTTTATACGTTGACGACCGTCAAGGGTGGAAAGAAAGGGTCGTACCCTCGCCCTCCTGCATCCCAACCCTTCCCAAACACCTACAATGAGGACTTTGAAGGTAACACTGCAGGGACCTGTCATATATGAGTACACGTATTTGTGGAGGGTTGATGTGTGCAGCAACAGGAGTTAGTCATTTACTCCAATATAATGTTTTACAGGTTACTCTGAGCACACGGAGCCCTACAACCTGGCCCAGCAGACCGGGTCATATGAGATCATTGACGTGGGTCCCCCACACAACAAGGTGGTCAGGCAGATGGTTCTGACACAGCCGGTACACTGGTGTGAGGCAGAGGGCAATACCAACAGGTCTATCAGCATCATTGGTAACTACAATTGGTAAGGTTTTAATCTTCTTAGTGACAGGCTTTTGACGATGGTAATACTGATTGATGTACTCTCTGTATGGGCGTGTACTCGGCAATTGCCTTGGAGTACATCACTAACCTGCGTGTACCTCAAAGCGTCTTTCCCAAGGGATAGGAAGACAACGAAGTGTTTATTCAATTTGAAAGGAGGGAGAGAGGCGTTAGACTGTGTGATCATCACATATTTTAATGTCATTGACAAACGCAATGTAAGGCGGGATAAATTAAATTTGCCATTAAAACTTGAGATTACGTGATGCACATAGTTTCAATATAAACAGACTCTCGTGTATGAACAATGGCTTCGTCTTGTACAATAGGTTCAATATAAACACTCTCGTGTATGCTCAATGGCTTCGTCTTGTACAATAGGTTCAATATAAACAGACTCTCGTGTATGAACATTGGCTTCGTCTTGTACAATAGGTTCAATATAAACAGACTCTCGTGTATGCACAATGGCTACGTCTTGTACAATAGGTTCTCATGCAATGTGTTCGATATATTTCAACGTCTTGCAGAAGCAAAAAGGTAACAAAATACCAATAATTCATGGGTCCGAAATGTGTCCGAATGACTGTACCTGTGATATCCTGGAGACATAGAGTTTAACTATGGTATAGTTAAAGACACGTATACTACAACCGAGATTATGGATGAGGATGAAAATTAGAAAGTACCACATAATAATATAGAGGCAAGTACCAATTGTTCTTCTGATCTTCCAGGACAGATGTAACTGTCCAGATAGACGCAAGAGTCGGGGCCGTGAACGGCTCCAGCGGCTACTTTGTGGCTGCCAGGGTCGACAGAGGCGGCGGAAGCTCAGACCAGGCAGAGGGCATCTTCCTGTACATCTTACCTAACACAAGTACTTACCTACTGTCCGCGGACTTTGGTGAGTTTGTACATTCTATGTCCTGGAGGCATCTCTATCAACCAACATTATGGTTTCCCACTCAGCACTGAGAGGGATGGCCTCGTGGTAAACGTATTCTCTCGTCGTGTGGGGTAACAATATATAATATGATATGATATGATCTCCATTACTTCAGAACACAACCACATCATAATGGCAGGTGTGCTGCCGTCTAGCAGCAGCGACTGGAACACCGTAATGCTGACTGTACAGGTAAGGGTTGTACGAAACTTTACCCAGGAACTCTGCCCACTAGGAACTCTTCCCCCCAAAAATGTTTCCTGGATACGGCTTTATCAAATGTTTCCCGTGGGCAAAGTTCCTTGTGGGCAAACTCCCTGTGGGCAAAGTTCCCGGATTCCCGGAATCCGACAGTTCCTAAACTTCTTATAATAAAATCAAATCATGTCCTTTTGTCTGTAGACAACTGCGTGTGGTATCAGAAATGTTCCACAGTAATAGATTTGCATGTTTTGCACTGTATAATATTCATTACTGAAATGCCAGCTGAAACTGTAGACGAGTCGAGACTGAGCATTGGTTTTATATTCCAGGCAGGATACGCAACTGCGAAATACAACAATCAGACACTGTTGAAAGAATCTATTCCACCCAGTATGGGATTTGTGGCCATTGGCACCGACTCCTGGGGAATTGTGGACTACGACAACCTGATGATTAAGGCAGAACCAGTCCCACATCAACGCCAGAAGGATAATACACTGTATTTCAAGCCTCCAAAATAATATATTGATTTTCATTATTATTCATTTAATATTGTTCGTATTTAATATAAGTAGAACACGTTTTGCATCTTCTGCTTTTATACACGCGAAGGTACAAGAAATTGGTTACCCTTTTATTGAACATAGATTTCCGATTCTTTCATGAGGAATACATGCCAACTACAGTTCTGTATAAAACTGAGCATCTCGACCACGATTTTGTTGAGTTGATTCACAACGTCGTCAATCTGAGTAAGGTCAAGCTATCCTATAAGCATGATATAGCACATTTGCAGTGAAATAAAGAGATACTGTGTTATCTATGTTTATGTATGTGAAGGGTTCAGAATCCCTTGAGTCACGGCAGTAATCATTATTTCACGCTCGTTCATCACACGTATATGGCACTCGTACCTTCATAACATTGTCGATAAGTGACGGTATTCAGGTGATTCAAGTCACACGTTGTGTTGTGTAACATCTGTCTCTATGGTTACTGTTTACAACCAGGACGGTTTAAGTTTATGCTGACTCAGATCGTCCATATCTGCTCGAGAACTGTTACACGAACACTGATAACACTGATAACAAGTTCAAATACCATTGTGCTGACAGGCAGCTAGACGGACTGAACGACAGACAGACACACACGTGTGCATACAGACAGACAGACACACACACACACACTGGGAGTAATGTGTAATGTGATGGTTATAGTGTCAGTAAACATGTTTATGATTTCTAAAATATGATCAGTTATTATTTGGAAGTCCCATCGAGAGTTATCATTTCAAATACACAATTTCTGACACATAAACGCTTTTACTTCGAGATAACCGGAAGTTCAAAGCAGTAAAACTCGACATAAAAGTGTTTCACAACTGAAATATATTTCGTGCCTTTTGACTGAACAAACACACACAGCAGTTCACCGATATAGCGACTGATAGCATCGTAAACATTCAGTCTTCCTCACGAAACGTAGGTCACTAACGTGGACAGCCACCATTATCTACCATAGCATGCTTTATCTTTATCTATTGTCCGCAGAATAAAATATTTGAAATGTTTGATTCAGACTTGTACATTTAATGACGTCAAAGAAGCGCTACTCTGGACAGCTCAAGGAACTCATGTTCCAGAAGGACGTGTTATTTTCACATTGTCGAAATCCGCGTATCCCAGTGATCCAGTTCCTACAGCCACAAAGCCTTGGTCCGGCTTCAGCCGGGAGGTCAGAGTAGGTGAACACTGTTTTATTGTTGACCTTGCCCACCGCTGTTGTTCCCTGCAAAATGTGGAACACCACTGGAACAACCTAGGTAACATTCCACAGATAACATGGGACTTCCCACAGGTGTCGTTGTTAACGAGTGACTACATTCCTATCATAATTCAATGTGGCCATGATTAGATTTAACACTGAGCCATGATTCAACCGTAAAACCTGTTTTGAAAATTGAAATGTCTTTGGGCAATAGCAGAATTTCGAGGATTTTTTAACTCATTCTTTTATATGGATATGCCAACCATTCGAACCTAATCTCCATTTTACCAGTTTATGACAAAGATACGAGAATATCGAGGGTACTTTGTTATTCTGCCTTTACTGTTTCATGACGTGTAAAATCTATAAAATGAAAACCGACAAGAAAATTGTAGTACGTTCCGTGGTGAGAGTCAAACAAAATTCGATGCAGTTCAGAATCGGATAGAACCTCCATGTTGAAGTGCCTCCATTTAATTTAAAAGTAATAGCTTTTTCTACTGGTATTTGTACATCACTGTAACGTTATATATGTGACACCTGGGGTTCGTGAAACAGTGTAACGTTGTAATGATGACACCGAGAAACGGGTAAGCAAGTTACACCATGTATCAGAGTAAATTAAAAGCATACACGTATTTGTAATTTCGATGTCCTCATTAATACGAGGCATACTGAGAGAGGTTGTCACATTTACCTGGCCATGTGAGAAGCTGCTCAAGGTTCTTTAACTACAGTGAGGACGCAGTGCAAACTAAAACTTACCTCAACATTCAAGGACATGTTGTTCCATCCTTTCATGACACTATCTACATCACCGCCTTGTAAAATCCTCTTTCGATCTGAAGTGAAGGTCAAAGCATCATATTAGGTGAACGTTTCAGGTATACCACGGCATGTCAATCAGGTGTAACAGTCGTCACATAGAGCCCCCAGGTTTACGAATCAAAGACTTTGTCGTGTATTTATCGATGAGGAGATACGACACCTGTTATTTGAAGTTAATAAACCATATAAATTGAAAGGAAAACGTGCACGCATGACATATATATGAAATGATTGGCCTTTGCAAATGATACACGATCTTTCTAAAGAACACCATTGTCTAACATTCATCTTTCAAGATCAGTATCTGAAAATGATGACCTTCACCCTTCACATGGAGGGGGGGGGGGACTCACCCAAAGTAGGGGCGAGTTGATAGGTGTTATCTTGAGGGTAGAAAAAGAAAAACACGCCCTGCGATGAGTTGGTCTTGCATCCCCCTCTTTGAGACCCTGGCAGCAATGAAGACTCCTTTGGACGCATCCGTACCATCATCATACACATCAGCGTCCACGTAAATGTGCGTCCTGGAACACGTGTACACACAGCAAGGTGCAGGTTGAATCAGTTATTTATATATCTAGCTAATGTGAGAATACAAACGATTTTTTCCAACAAAGAGAGATTCGACTGCAGTTAGCAGAATAAAACTGGGTTCACAGGGTTCAAGACGCTTATCACCCATATGTTTGGCTCACGTATCCATGAGATGTAGACACTGCCAGGTTTTCTACGTGTATTACCAGTTCGTATTTCCGATTATAGCTATCCCAGCTGCAGTCTGGTTACAAAAGGGAATGGTCATCCTCAGGGTCATCTGGCGCATCACCTGGCCATGGCTTCCCCCCTGCTTGGTGAACTTCAAATGATCCGATCTCCTGTGCAAACAGATATGGCTCCTCGTTTACTCTGTAACCTGACAACACGAAAACAACAAGCATTATATTGAAAGGTTCACATGTAATTCAAGTTCAATGTACACAATATGGGATTGACATATACGTTAGCTGTGCAAACATTTATCGCCATTCATTAATACTGTATATTTAAACTGTGTACATAAAATCAACAAACATTAGTATTTTTTCCCTTCGTATGCAGCAATAGCTCAAATATGCTCAATGAAATAACTCCACTTCAACATAGTTTTCACAGCCAAGCTTTTGCATGTCTCTGACCTGAGTATGGCGACTAAGGGCCGATTGTAAAGCTCTGACAACGCTATAAAGATTTTCTTAGCTGACATGATCCAAGTATTTACACAATTCTTGCAGTCCGGTTATCACGATTTGCTGTTGTAAGGACAAACAAAAACAGTGGATCAGTATGGTCTGACCTTGGGTCATCAGAAATATCGATTCAGGGATCAGACAGAATGGTAAGCATGCGGTTTCTAGTTATAAATATTTGAGAAAAGTCTACAATCTATCTTATCTTACTTTCGAGTGAGTGAGTGAGTTTGGTTTTATGCCGCTTGTAGCAATATTCCAGCAATATCACAGCGGGGGACACCAGAAATTGGCTTCACACATTGTGCCCATGTGGGGAATCGAGCCCGAGACTCTGGCGTGACGAGCGAACGCTTTAACCACTAGGCAACCCTACCGCCCCCTTACTTTCGAAGTCCTGTGTGTACGGCAGTGGGAAGGGTTTAGATGGAGGAGGTGTTGGGTATTGTCCCTTCCTGCCGTGGCCGAGAGTTGTCAGTGTAAGAATCTGGTTCACGCCGAGGTACACATCCAAACGGTTGTTCTCAACCTTCAAGAAGAACCCCTTCACAGTCATACCTGTACATACATTGTGTTTATGCAGGTGCTGTGTTTGTTTAGGCGAGAACTCTTTTGCAACTTAATTTGTATAGGCTGAGTGGGTAAGTGCATTTTAGTCAAGAATAGTAAAACTGCGTAAGGGACACCTGAAACATGTAGATACTCCTTGATCACAAAGTATACATCTTCGGGACACTTGAAACATGTAGATACTCCTTGATCACAAAGTATACACCTTCGGGACACCTGAAACATGTAGATACTCCTTGATCACAAAGTATACACCTTCGGGGAACACTGACAGTTCACATGATCCACCAGTTTCGGCACGTGAACTACGAAATGAGACATGACCAAAGAATGTGGCCAAACATTGTCCATATCAGATTACATTCAATTTGAAGATGACTAAAGTCAGAGACATACCATTATGGGAGGCAGCTGTTTAAAGATGGTTGGTTCACCGGGAGCATGCAGCTGTGTGAAGAACGAGTTGAAGTATGTTATGCCAGCCTGAAAAATAACCCAACATGAGTTCTTTAAAACCTAACCATGCTATAAATATGGCGATTCAATGCTTATATGTATACTTGTATGTGCATGGTGCAATAATCGTTGTGTTGCAGTGTATTGCGGCGTTTGTCTATATTGTGTTTAGTTATAGATCTCACCAAACTTCCATCAAAGACGAGAGTGATGTTCTGAGGCGAAACGCTAAACCATTTGATAAGATCCGGGTGGAAGCACATTGATCCATTGTAAGTCTGAAATAGAACACTACTGTGATTATCATTCAAAGTTGGTGTTTTTACCGTTTTCGTGTAACACTGGTCTCAGAGCAATGCAATTTGAGGACAGAAGGTTATAGCCCCATACAATTGATTTTCCACACAGGACCACGAAATACTTACGGAGATATGAAATTCGCAACGTTATCAATGTAATGATTCCTTTGCTCAGGGAATCGCCATAATTTCAGAAATGAGCAAGTTTTAAGACAAAAATTTCTATACGCAAGGCATTATCAATGTAATATGCAAAACTGATGATTTTAAGAACCTGTTTTTCTAATGTTTGAAAATGAGAAAATGTTTGACCAAAACGGAAGAAATGTGAAAACTAATCAGTTTGGGTTGCTGATTTGCTCATACTTTTCGACAATGAACAATGAAGGTTTAGATTAACCGTAAAATTTGACTTTTCTAGTAGGACTTTTTCATTGTTTTTTCTGTGAAATTTTATTATCGGGTTAAATTTGTGTTAGTCTAAACAAGGCATAACATGTGAAGCGAAATATTGGTAAACCTCTGTGCCATGAAACTGACAATTGTATGGACGTCCTTGTTCAATTAAACTTAAATTTTCTCCCAAACAAAATGTTAGGTCAGGTTATGAAGAAAGACATGTACATGTGCAAAATAGACGTGTTTACCATTGTCTCAATAATGATCGTGAAATCTTTGCCATCCGGGCTGACCAGTGCCACATAGCTTCCTCCCTGAGACAGTTTCCCAGCACCAGAACCGTGCTTCAGATATCTCCATCCAGCTCTGGTAAACTGTGTTGTGTGGGCTAAAACATGTCATTTGACTGAACAGAGAGAATTATGCCGATGAATTGTGATGCAGTTGACTCATCTAACAACATGACTGGTTGGTTGGTTGTTTAACGCCGCACTCAGCAATATTCCAGATATGTAGCGGATGTATGTAAATACCCGAGTCTGGATCAGACAATCCAGTGATCAACACCATGAGCATCGATCTACTACGATGTGTCCACCGAGACAGCAAGCCTGGCCATCCGATCACTTTAGTCGCCTCTTACTACAAGCATGGGTTGCTGAAGATCAATTCTAACCGGATCGTTACGGGTATCTAACAACATGAACACAACTTAAATATCATGTTGATTTAACTTTTAACCTGTGTCGCATGAGCTGAAATATACACTGAACGCCAAAAGAAACGTTACCCTCCTTCCTTAATGACGGAGGTACCTATCTTGAACTGGCGTCGTGATGCGTGGCGTTCTTGGTCTGTCTACGGTGACCCCAGTCTGTCTGGAGCCCTGAATAACTCTTATAACCGTGATACGGTGGCATCCGCATTGGCAATAGCATTGTACGTCGACCCCATCTGCACCATTACAATGGCTCTTTCTCTCTCTTCAGCTGTTAATCGTCGCATATCATGATTATGATTGTATC